AGAACCCGGGGTTTAAGCCTCAAATCCCCAATAATTTGCTCCCCTCCCCCCCAAATGCTAGTGAAAAACTCCGGGGTTTAAGCCTCAAGATCCCAAAATAAATTTGCCCGCTCCCCCCACTTTCTAAGGGGAAAAAACTCCGGTTTTAAACCTCAAGGGTCCCCAAATAAATACTCCCCTCCCCCCTCAAATGGAACAAAACTCCGGGTTCAAAACCCAAATCCCAATAAGGGACACCCCTCCCCCGACGCTAAATGGGAACCGAACCCGGGGTTTAAACCTCAGATCCCCAAAAAGTAGCTCCGCCTCCCCGACTGCTAGGGGAACAGAACTCCGGGTTCAAGCCTCAAGATCCCAAGTAGTAGCTCCCCTCCCCGACTGCTATGGAACAGAAACTCCGGGTTCAAGCCTCAAGATCCCAAGAAGTAGCTCCCGCTCCCCCGACTGCTAGTGGAAACAGAACTCCGGGTTCAAGCCTCAAGATCCCAATAAGTAGCTCCCCTCCCCCCGACTGCAAATGGAAAAAAGAAATCCGGTTTTTAACCCAAGATCCCCCAAATAAGTAGCTCCCCACCCCAACCAAGGAAATTAAAATCCGGGTTTTAAACCCAAAATCCCAAAATAGGCCCCCCCCCCCCCCACTGCTAGTGGAACAAACTCCGGGGTTTAAGCCCCAGGGTCCCAATAAGTGCTCCCCCCCCCCCCCCCACGCTAGTGGAACAGAACTCCGGTTCAAGCCTCCCCGATCCCAAATAAGTACCCCCTTTCCCCCCCCCCGCTAGTGGAACAGAACTCCCCGGGTTTTAACCTTTAAGATCCCAAAATAAAAAGCTCCCCCCCCCCCACGGGTAGTGGGAAAAGAACTCCGGGGTTTTAGCCCAAGGGTCCCAATAATAATCCCCCTCCCCCACGCTTTGTGGAAAAAAGAACTCCCCGGGGCAACCTAAGATCCCAAGTAAGTAGCTCCGCTCCCCCGACTGCTAGTGGAACAGAACTCCGGGTTCAAGCCTCAAGATCCCAAGTAAGTAGCTCCGTCCCCGACTGCTAGTGGAACAGAACTCCGGTTCAAGCCTCAAGATCCCAAGTAAGTAGCTCCCCTCCCCCCGACTGCTAGTGGAACAGAACTCCGGTTCAAGCCTCAAGATCCCAAGTAAGTAGCTCCCCTCCCCCACTGCTAGTGGAACAGAACTCCGGGTTCAAGCCTCAAGATCCCAAGTAAGTAGCTCCCCTCCCCCGACTGCTAGTGGAACAGAACTCCGGGTTCAAGCCTCAAGATCCCAAGTAAGTAGCTCCCCTCCCCCGACTGCTAGTGGAACAGAACTCCGGGGTTCAAGCCTCAAGATCCAAGTAAGTAGCTCCCCTCCCCCGACTGCTAGTGGAACAGAACTCCGGGTTCAAAGCCTCAAGATCAAGTAAGTAGCTCCCCTCCCCCGACTGCTAGTGGAACAGAACTCCGGGTTCAAGCCTCAAGATCCCAAGTAAGTAGCTCCCCTCCCCCGACTGCTAGTGGAACAGAACTCCGGGTTCAAGCCTCAAGATCCCAAGTAAGTACTCCCCTCCCCCGACTGCTAGTGGAACAGAACTCCGGGTTCAAGCCTCAAGATCCCAAGTAAGTAGCTCCGCTCCCCCGACTGCTAGTGGAACAGAACTCCGGGTTCAAGCCTCAAGATCCCAATAAGTAGCTCCCCTCCCCCGACTGCTAGTGGAACAGAACTCCGGGTTCAAGCCTCAAGATCCCAAGTAAGTAGCTCCCTCTCCCCGACTGCTAGTGGAACAGAACTCCGGTTCAAGCCTCAGATCCCAAGTAAGTAGCTCCGCATCCCCCGACTGCTAGTGGAACAGAACTCCGGGTTCAAGCCTCAAGATCCCAAGTAAGTAGCTCCCCCCCCCCCGACTGCTAGTGGAACAGAACTCCGGGTTCAAGCCTCAAGATCCCAAGTAAGTAGCTCCGCTCCCCCGACTGCTAGTGGAACAGACACTCCGGGTTCAAGCCTCAAGATCCCAAGTAAGTAGCTCCCCTCCCCCGACTGCTAGTGGAACAGAACTCCGGGTTCAAGCCTCAAGATCCCAAGTAAGTAGCTCCGCTCCCCCGACTGCTAGTGGAACAGAACTCCGGGTTCAAGCCTCAAGATCCCAAGTAAGTAGCTCCCCTCCCCCGACTGCTAGTGGAACAGAACTCCGGTTCAAGCCTCAAGATCCCAGTAAGTAGCTCCCCTCCCCCGACTGCTAGTGGAACAGAACTCCGGGTTCAAGCCTCAAGATCCCAAGTAAGAAGCTCCGCTCCCCCGACTGCTAGTGGAACAGAACTCCGGGTTCAAGCCTCAAGATCCCAAGTAAGTAGCTCCCTCCCCCGACTGCTAGTGGAACAGAACTCCGGGTTTCAAGCCTCAAGATCCCAAGTAAGTAGCTCCCTCCCCCGACTGCTAGTGGAACAGAACTCCGGGTTCAAGCCTCAAGATCCCAAGTAAGTAGCTCCCCTCCCCCGACTGCTAGTGGAACAGAACTCCGGGTTCAAGCCTCAAGATCCCAAGTAAGTAGCGTCCGCCCCCGACTGCTAGTGGAACAGAACTCCGGGTTCAAGCCTCAAATCCCAAAAAGTAGCTTTCCCCCCCCCCCCGACTGCTAATGAACAGAACTCCGGTTCAAAACCCCCCAAGATTTCCCAAATAAGTACCCTCCCCCCCCCGACTGCTAGTGGAAAAAAAACCCCCCGGGTTAAAAAACCTTTTTGATCCCAAATAAATAGCCCCCCCCCGACGCTAGTTTGGGAAAAAAACGCCCGGGGTTCCCAAACCTCAAACCCCCAAAAAGTAAACTTCCCCCCCCCCCCCCCCCCTGCTATGGGAAAAGACTCCCCGGGGTTTAACCTCAAAAAATCCCAATAATTTCCCCCCCCCCACTGCAATGGAAAGAACTCCGGGTTCAAAAACCCCCAAGATCCCAAATAAGTAAATCCGCCCCCCCCCCCCACTGCCCAGTGGAACAAACCCCGGTTCAAAAACCTCAAAATCCCAAAAAAATTCTCCCCTTTCCCCCCCCCCCCCCCCCCCGCTAGGGAACAGAACTCCGGGGTTTTAACCCAAACCCAAGTAATAGCCCGCTCCCCCCCCCCCTGCTAGGAAAGAAAACCCGGGTTTTTAAACCTCAAGATCCCCAAATAAGTAGCTCCCCCCCCCGACTCAATTTGGAAAAAGAAAATCCGGTTAAGCCCCCAAGATCCCAAATAAGTTTGCTCCCCTCCCCCCCCCCCCCCCCCCGCTATTTTAACGAAAATCGGGGTTTAACCTCAAATCCCCCAAATAAAATAGCTCCCCTCCCCCACTGCTAAGGGGAAAAAAAACTCCTTTCAAGCCTTTAAGATCCCAAGTTTTGGGACTCCCCCCCCCCCCCGACTTCTAGTGGGAAAAACTCCGGTTCAACCTCAAGAACCCCAAATAAAATTAACCCCCGCCCCCCTCCCCCACTGCAATGGAACAGGGAATCCGGTTTTAACCTCAAGATTCCCCAATAAGTACCCCCCCCTCCCCCGACGCAAATGGAACAAAACCCCCGGTTCAAGCCCTCCCAAAATCCCAAGTAAATACTTCCCCCCCCCCACTGCTATAACAAACCCCGGGGTTTAAGCCCAAGATCCCCCCAAATAATAGCCCGCTCCCCCCCCCCCGCCCAGTGGAAAAAAGAATCCGGGTTTTAACCCCCAAGATCCCCCAAATAATACTCCCCCCCCCCCCCCCCACCTATTGGGAAAAGAACTCCGGGGTTTAACCTAAGATCCCAAGTAAAACCCCCCCCCAAACCAGTGGAATCCGGAAGGTCAAATTTCCCAAAAACCCCCCCCAATTTTAAAAAAAACCCCCTTTTAACCCCCAAAACCCCAATTTAAACCCCCTTTTTCCCATGGGGAACGGGAAAAACCCGGGGGAAACCCCAAAATAAGGGAATAATTTCTCCCCCCCCCCATCTATTCAAAACCCGGGTTTTAGCCCACCTAAGGGTTTCCCCCAAAAAAGGAAAAAATTCCCCCCCCCCCGAATTCTAGGAAAATGAAAGGTCAAATCCCCTTATTGGATTGGGGGGAACTTTTCAATTAAGAAATAAAAACTCACCCCCTTCCCCCCCTGTGGTAAAACTGGGGTTTAAAGGGGAAGGAAAACCCAATAAAGCTTTCCCCCCCCCCAAATGTGGGCAAATTTGGGTTTAACCAAAGATCCCAAAAATTTTCCCCCCCTGCATAAAAACCCCAAACCTCAAGATTTAAAATTATTTTAAACTTGGGGAAAAAGATCCCTTAAACCCACAAAACCCGTTTAAAATTTTTCCCCTTCCCCCCTTTTTTTAACAAACCCTTTAAAAAGTAACCCAATAAATCCCCCCCCCCGAACCCGCTTAGGGGAAAAAACCCTTCAAGTTAATCCCCAATAATAGTTTCGTTTTGAATTGAAAAACCCTTTAAGAAAAAACCCAATAAGGCTTCCCCCCCCCATTAAAAAGGGGCCGGGGCAACCCCCCGTTTGTGATTTATCAAAACCCAAAATGGGAAAAGAAAACCCAAAAACCCCCCCCCCCCTAAAAAACTGGTGGTAAATTAAAATGTTTAACCCCCTTTTGGCAAAACCGGGGTTTGCCACCTTTTCCCAATAAAGCTAGACTGCTTAACAAGAATTGGGTTTGCCCTTTAAGGTCCCCTTAAGAACCTTGGTTTGAGGGAAGGGAATTTTAACCCCAAAAAAACCCCAATAATCTATTTGTGCTTTTGGGCAAAATTCATTAAAAAAGAAACCCGGGGTTTTCCCCCCCCGGGCTTGGGGGTGAAAGAATGGGTTTAAATCAAATCCAATAAATTCCCTTTTCCCCCCCCAAAAAAGCGATTAAAGAATCCTCCCGGGTTAAGGCCTTTTTGGGCCCGGTAAGTGGCCCCCCCCCCTGGTTTATCATTAATTTTCTTTTTGAACTAATCCCTTAAATTTTTTTTTCCCCTTTTAATTGTTCAAAACTTTCAGGCTGTACACAACCGTTGATAGAATCTACAAAAAGCTGTATCTAAGACCCGCAACCAGTGAGAAAAGTAGACCAGCAACAGAAAGTGGGAAGAGGAACAGAGCGCAGCTGGCTAGAAGTCTTTCCTACGTTTTCTGAGTGGGATTCTGCGAATAGAAATCGGAAATTTGTTATTTTTAGTGTGATTTGAGACAACATCTAATTTGCTCCTTCATTAAAAAATGTATCATTTAAAAACCATTCCAACATTCTCTTTGAATCACCCTGTAAAATGCTAAATTGTAGTCTCGATTTAGTTTAATATTGAACTGATTTTGTTTGTGAGATTTAACAATTACGGTTGATGAAAATGGAATTAATGTTTATTAAGTGAAAAAATAAACGGTCACATTATTAATAGCCTTGCTTAATAGTAAAATCTTATTTATTCATCAAACTCAAAATTGCTTCGTATACCAATTGTTTGTCTTTTTCGTTAAACCGAGCAAAAACTACAACCCAAGGATTATCTATATCCTTCGAATTGAGCTGATCGGATTTATTAAAAGAGAAAGTACCTTGTCTGCTTTTCTGACATTCATGATCATTAAGTTCAGAATTCCTAGTTCGATGATCAAGGAGCTCTAGATAATGTAATTGTATCGGTACTGTAACAACATTAAGATTATCCTTGGAGGTGAGGTATTTCGGCTGTTTAAAACTGATTCGTCTGTCTGCTGACGCTTTCGTTTCTTTTAAAAACGACCTACGTGCAGAACGGTTAACTGACTTTAATCTCGAATATTGCTTCAGAGTTTTTAAGTTTTTGGTTCCGCCCACGTTTTTGATTGTGTGTCGTTCAAAATCACCATCAGTCATGTAGTGATTGCATTTGCAAGGAAAAACATCGCCAGTCGAGATAGAGAGATCATTTGCTGAATTAACTGTTTTGCTGGTTGATCTGTAATACGGCAAATCTTGTGTTACCAACACTTTCCAATTATGTTTACTTAGCAGCCTGCTTTCTTGAGATTGGGAATATTTCGTCACTTCCTCATTTTGAGGCAAGGTACCTTGTGACTTCTCTGAGGCTGATAGGTGTGTTGATAGGTTTCCAGAAAGCTGACTTGATAGCAAATTGTTCACATCATCTTGTTGTTGAGCTAAGATATAATAATCCCACGAAATATGTGGATGAGATAAGCCAATTGTACTGGAGTTACAGTGAGGCTGACTGTTTTCAGAGCATAAAATACTGGTTTTATCATTCACCATGATATCTCCCTTCTCCAACTGTAATTTGGCACTAGAACATGTTTGGTTAGAATTCCACCGTGATCTATTGGGGGAAGTATGGTTTTGGTTTGAGTTCCACCGTGGTCTGCTCACTGTGCTACTCGGAGAGTGGCTTTTTATAGTTTTTCCGGATGGAAGAATGCATTCTGAGCAGTACGGACCAACGAAGGACTTTTTCTGCTTATATGAAAAACTGTCCTTTGTTTTATGCACGTCTTCTGAATCATGATGCAAAGGAGCTGTAGGATCCTGTTCTGTAGGCTGATGAGGTAACGTGATCGTGTTGACACGTGACTCTGTGTATACGGCTGATTGGCTGGCTGGTAAAGATACCTCTTTCTCGTCGAGGAGGGGAGTGCTGTATCTCTCATCCTGAAGAGTTCACTATCAACTCATGCTATAAAAAACTTGTAGTTTCAAATATGGGAAATTGCAATTGTGCGACTGGCGAGGAGGACTTGCGCTATGGCTTATTTTTGTTAAATTATCCATGAAGTTGAAATATTACTCAAATTGTATTACCCCACTTATTGATGACATAGGTTCAGAAGTTACTGTCGGGGAACTGGAACTGCTGATCCCAGGTGATGATTTTCTTTCTCCAGAATCTTCATCTTTTAAACTGTGAAGAGCAAATATTTTTAGGGGTCCTCATCATCAACCAGAACATATTTTATGATACGTATCACTTTACGATATTCATTTCAAACCTGCTTTCAGAAGGAAATCTTGTACTGCAGTTTCGTGATGGTCCCCTTGATGTACGATGTACCTGCTAAAATTATACTCCAGATTCTAAATGATACGCGCAAACGTGAATGAATTGCTTTATATGACCCTAATATTAATCATAAAGAGCGAAATGCAATTATACTACCAGCATATCTGAGAAAGTAAAACAAACTTTTAGATTGATGAAATGTAAATGTGTTGCAAACCAACCTCCGCCAAGCTTTCAATACTCTCCGCAAGATCTTTTATCTTTAATCTCCCTCTTTTGGATGATATATCACAGTTTGCATTGGTAGAGGAAGTGTCGTCATAGCCATCTGATGACTCTGGAGAACTCAGTTTTGTAGATGATGGTTGGCTGAAGGAGTGTGTTGTTGGAGATGATGATTGGCTGATGGAGTGTGTTGTTGGAGATGATGATTGGCTGATGGAGTGTGTTGTTGGATATGATGATTGGCTGATGGAGTGTGTTGTTGGAGATGATGATTGGTTGACGGAGTGTGATATTAAAAATGGTTTCTGTTGGGAGGAGTGACATCCTGGAAATGATTGTTGGTTGAATGAGTTTGCTGTTGGAGATGATGGTTGGTTGAATGAGTTTGCTGTTGGAGATGATGGTTGGTTGAATGAGTTTGCTGTTGGAGATGATGGTTGGTTGAATGAGTTTGTTGTTGGAGATGATGGTTGTTGTAAGGAATGGGATTTATCAGTTTGCTGCAGTGAAGATCTACCAACTGATTGCAGCTCGATCACAGCACCAGTTACCAGCCGATCAGAAACTCTTGATATGTCCAAAGATTCTGATGATGCGGACTTGTCCGTGAGGTATGCTTCATTTATCGGCTGAACAACTATTTGAGTTTCGTGATTCTTGGAGCCTAGGTAAGAGACTTTATCTTTTAAATAATATTCAGTTCTGGTTCTCCTCTCTGAGCATGCGATGTTGTTAGTTTTAAACCAAGTTTCCTTTTGATTTTCTAAGTCACTAGAGTTAGAGATAGACCTAACAATTCCTAAATTCGGTCCTAACAAATCATTAATTTGGTTAGCCGTGGGGTCCGAAACTCTAACAACATCCCCTGTATTTTTTAATGAATTGGTCGCCTCCAACAAATGTGTGCTCAACTTTCTTATCATTTCCCGACCGAGGATAGGATACGAGGGATTCAATTTGGAGTTCTCTTTCTGCTCGTTATAGGAGCTAAAATAACCACTTATGTGCGAGAACATACTATTTTGAGCGATACCCACGCCTGGTACTTGCAGAACACTGTCGCTAAACTCGTGACTCTCCTTTTCCTTTGAATAACAGACCGTTTCAGAGATTCTGACTCTCTTTTGCTGCTTATTTTTACCCCGGCTAAGATTTGTATGTTGCAAGTTAGACTGGTGGTATTTCCCGCCGACTTCTCTCCGTTTATTCTTTGGAGTGAAGCTAGATGGGCCAGCATTTTGAAACTTAGAGAGTATGTGTGAAGACTGCTCAAACGACTGCCGACTGCTGGTTGCAGGGTCTGCAGGTAAAATACTCTTCGTTGAATCTACCTCGAGGTCGTGTCGATCTTCACACCTAGCTACTTCCATTGTATCTAACTGCAGAGGTACGTAGATAGCGGATTTCTCTTTTTTCCGTCTATCTTTTATCTCTTTTGCTCTGGATGACTTAGTTGAAGACATGTATCTTCTAGAGGGTAGACCTCCGGGTCTACCTTTACATATGTTGTGCTTACAACAGTCATATCTTGCTCTTAGCTTACAATTTGAAATACGTTCAGACGACGAATTTAATGAATCCACACGCCTTCGAGTTGAGATAGTTATCTTTCTGGGTAAAGTGGCTGGTTTTTTGACAGATATCGGGAATTTAACTTTTAGTTTCTTTGGGATCAGTTTTGGTTTATCTAAAGGATCTTCCATTAGCGTACGAATCTGATTATTGCTAGGCTGCTGATTTTCCTGAACGTCATTTGAATTACACCTGTTTGCAGAACTAGCATAGCAGGTGGAGTTTTGCTGAAGGTATTTCCCAGAAGTTCCCAGTGTTGAAGGGTTGGTGCCAGAACCACACGTGGTGCCTCCCCTTATCTTGTGGTAACCGTGCCAGTACGGGTTCCACAAATGAGTCTTCATGCTTCAGAAACTAAAATAGAAGACGAGTTAACAAGTATAACCTGAAAATAGCACACTGGCTGGTACCACATAGTATTTAACAAGGGCGCCGCAGTTTTCACGTTAACTTTTCCGGGTGTGGAGGAGGAGCTTTGGATACATTTTACAAGAATGAAAGCCAATCATTTAAATGTTTTTAATTTATTAATTTAATCCAAGGTAAGTCTATAAGTGGGATACTTATGTACTAATGAGCAAGGTAATCGGTTTAAATCGGCATCAGGCCGGCGTGGCCTAGTTTCGCAACTTAAAACATTATTATTAATTTCAATTCTGTTATCAGTCAAATTTATTATTTTAACCACGACATTTTTTCTGTTTCTGGTTATAAACTGTATGTTCATTGCCCACTAATGTACTGACCATATACTACCGTGCAAATATACCATAATTAATTCGATGTTATAATGAAAACGATGCTCTTGATTTTTCCTTGCATCTTTTCTCCAGAACTTATTCCTGTTAATAAAGTTAATGCATGGTTAAAGATCACTCAGATTATCTCAAGTCTCTTGTTTATATCATGGCTTAAAATACCGCGTAATCCTGATAAGACCAAATTTACAACCGGGTCTAAAGATAAAAATGTTTTATTGATGACCATACCAAGGGTAAAACTCGAAAATTATTGTAACTGAAGAAGTCATCCGAGCAAGTGGTGTGATGCCTGATGATTCACCTCTCCAGTTCAACTCTCCCTCTAGGGACTACAGGTGGGGCATGAATTCTCCGCATTCGCACAGCTGACAGCATCTTGTTCTGTTCATTATGCTGATTCCGGGAAGCATTCTCTTTACGTGATCATCATATCATACGATGAGATATTATTCATTTAAAATTGGGTAATTATAGGCCTGTCAAAGATTGCAGCCCAATTAAGAGCTGATCAATTGCAGCTACTTGTGCCATATAAGAAATAACAAAGGTCACGTTTTGCGATTCTATCACATGGGGGAGTTTCCCTCCCCCAAATTTATTATGAGCGAGAAATGGCGAATATGTTGCTGAGTAAAGTGATATAAGTGATACTGTTATCACGTTGACAATGACCAATGAATGAGCTGATTAATTTAAACGTATCTAATAAGATTAGGTTCACCCTAGATTACCATCCCCACTTGAAGGTGTCCAACATGAGAATAAATTACATTGACAACACCACATGATAATAAGTGATATTAGAGTATTTGCCAAGACACAAATCTACTGACCAAGATTATAAATATTGAAAATTATAACGCTTAATTCTAATTTCTAACTTTCTAAGGAGCAGAATCTC